AGCGGTTCACGGAGCGAGCGATCAGAGCGATAATTTTCTCGCAGAAGGAAGCTAAATCGTTGGGGAGAGACATGGTGTTCACTCAGCATCTTCTCCTGGGCCTGATCACAGAGGATCGCGATCCTCGCGGGTTTCTAGGGTGCGGAATCACCATCGACAAAGCTCGTGAAACTGTGTGGAGCATCTGGAACGACGAGGTCTCCGATTCTAATTCTCCGAAACAGCAGGAAGTTTCGTCTACTTCGTACTCAAAGTCAACAGACATGCCGTTTTCCGTAAGTACGAAGAGGGTCTTCGAGGCTGCGGTCGAGTACTCTAGGACTATGGGGTGCCAGTTCATTGCACCTGAACACATCGCCATCGGTCTCTTCACCGTCGACGACGGTAGCGCCGGCAGAGTCCTTAAGAGGTACAATTCACCCACCTTGTGTCTTTGAATTGCCTTGAAACGAGATCGGTAAATTTCTGGGTTAATAGAGATGCGTTTCGTTTAGTCATAGCAGATTTGGTAGATGTCATGATCTGACGCGTGGAACATGTTTAAGACAAATCTGAATTTGATGGTGGGTCCTTGCTACGAATTACTCTAAAATGGTGACCATGTGAAGCAGTAATTATGAACTAGGATCGGGCATGTGGACCGAGCTGCGAACTGTTTTCTCTCATAAATTTCGGAACTCAGATAATTTTCAAGTTCAGTTTTATATTGATCACGTACTGAGTAATTCGAAGTCCAATTATTGCTAGGATAATGGGTTAGAGAATTGCCTAAGATTGGCAACCAAAACAGAGGGTTTAATAACGTCTGTTCTATGTGGAAGCAGCGTTTCCTTTTAGGAATAAGCTTGTATAGATCATGTTGCCTGTAAATCGTTATTGGATTTTATATGATGCTTCTGTCCACTAGTTTTAACAACAATCTGCTGATCTTAAGATTTTGTTATGTGATATTAAGATTGGGAGCGGATATCAACCAGCTCACAGAAGCAGCACTCTCCAGACTCAAAGGAGAGCTTGCCAAGGATGGCAGAGAACCATCTCTTGCATCTAAAGGGAGCCTTGGTGATTTCTCTAACGGTAAAACTGCTAGTTCTAAAATGTCGGAAAAAACAAAAGGTAAAATATTTGTCTGCTCCATTCACTTTTTGAGGTTTGAAGAATAGATTCTGATAAATGTTTACCCAAAATGATGCTGAGCAGGTAAAAATGTCCTGGCACAGTTCTGTGTGGATCTTACAGCTCGTGCCAGTGAAGGCCTTATAGATCCTGTTATCGGTCGAGAAACTGAAGTTCAGAGAGTCATTCAGATCCTATGTCGCCGAACCAAAAACAACCCAATTCTTCTTGGTGAAGCTGGTGTCGGGAAGACAGCCATTGCTGAAGGACTTGCAATAAGTATCGCACAGGCAGAGGCTCCTGCCCTTCTTTTGGTGGGCATATTATAAGGAAATGAGGCTTTTGTGTTGTCATGTTGATCAAATGGGTATGACAAGCTTTTTTGATCCACATATAGGCGAAGCGCATAATGTCCTTGGATATAGGACTGTTAATGGCTGGTGCAAAAGAAAGAGGAGAGCTGGAGGCTCGGGTTACTTCCTTAATAAGCGAAATAAAAAAATCAGGTTGTCAACCTTGGATTTTAGGACTGGTGGAGACCGAAGAATCGTCAAGGCTCTAATTGCGAAAATTATCACGGCTCATTTTTGCATTCGTTTGTTTGCAGGTGACGTCATTCTCTTTATAGATGAAGTTCATACGCTTATCGGGTCTGGCACAGTAGGGAGAGGAAACAAGGGGTCTGGACTCGACATTGCCAACCTCTTGAAACCACCACTCAGCCGGGGTGAACTTCAGGTACTTATTCAGAACGATTCATATGAAGACAGTGTGGAAGGAATATACTCGCAGAAGATTATCTCAAATTTTAAAATGGCTTCCGATTTCTGAACATCTATGTTTACTTATCATGAGAAAAAAAACATGGCCATGTAGCTAGTTCCACTACTCAACAATCCATTATGTTGCAGTGCATTGCGTCCACAACTCTTGATGAATACAGGAGTCAGTTTGAGAAGGACAAGGCACTTGCTAGGAGATTTCAGCCGGTGTTGATTGATGAGCCGAGCCAGGTTTTTTTTTTGCCGAACAGAAATATCCTTTTTATTTTTTTACTTTGTTAAGCCACCGGCTTCCCCTTCTTATTCGGTGAACTTGTCTGAACAAACTTAAATAGGAGGACGCGGTGAAGATTCTGTTGGGTCTACGTGAGAAATACGAGGCACATCACAATTGCAAATATACAATGGATGCAATAGATGCTGCTGTATACCTTTCAGCACGATACATTGCTGATAGATTTCTTCCGGATAAAGCTATCGATCTCATCGACGAGGCAGGAAGCAGAGCCCGGATCGCAGCTTTTAGGAAGAAAAGGGAGGATGAGATTTGTATCCTTTCAAGGCCTCCAGACGATTACTGGCAAGAGATCAGAACTGTCCAGGCCATGCATGAAGTGGTAAGAAAAATCCAAATACAGAATATTACCTGTCTTTGTTATCTCTCTCAACCAAATATCATTCATGTTCTATGAATAGGTCCTATCGAGCAGGCCAAAGCATGATGATTCTAGCGAACTCGTTGTCGAGTCTTCTCTACCTCCTACCGTCGGCGAGGATGAGTATGACTACTTGCTCTTAATGCTTTAGGTAGCATTCACTAAAAGTGTTGTATGGAAGGCTCATCGTGAATGGACATTCATTACATTGTTTCGGACTGTGCTTTCAGGCCTGTAGTTATCGGACCTGAAGATATAGCGGCGGTTGCATCGATTTGGTCTGGAATCCCAGTTCAGCAAATCACAGCCGACGAAAGAATGCTTCTGTTGGGTCTAGACGAGCAACTTCGAAGGAGAGTAGTTGGTCAAGATGAGGCTGTGACCGCTATCTCTAGAGCGGTTAAGAGGTCACGAGTTGGTTTAAAGGATCCTGACCGTCCAATCGCCGCTATGCTCTTCTGTGGACCGACTGGGGTCGGTAAAACAGAGCTTACAAAAGCCCTGGCCGCGAGCTACTTCGGTTCGGTAAGAATTCGACTACATGTTTTCTCTCTTTTATGTTCCTTCGACATGTCTTAATTCTTCATGGGTCGGTATCGTTATTACATCAGGAAGAGTCGATGCTGAGATTGGATATGAGCGAATACATGGAGCGTCATACGGTGAGCAAGTTGATCGGTTCTCCTCCGGGGTATGTGGGTTTCGAAGAAGGTGGAATGCTAACGGAAGCTATCCGGAGACGTCCATTTACGGTGTTATTGTTCGATGAGATTGAGAAAGCTCATCCCGATGTATTCAACATTCTTCTCCAGTTGTTCGAGGACGGCCATCTGACCGATTCACAGGTCTCGTTTCTAAACCCGAAATTTTTCATTTAGCTTGGTGTAGTCTTCCGCAAACTCTGAACAAAATTTTTGCCTGTTTGGTTTTTCGGGTATTCTGTATCGATAGGGACGGAGGGTTTCCTTCAAGAACGCCCTGATCATAATGACCTCTAATGTCGGGTCATCCGCCATCGCAAAGGGGAGACACGGGTCGATCGGGTTCTTTCTTCATGACGAAGACGACGAAGAGGCAGCTTCATACGCCGGGATGAAAGCTTTGGTGGTGGAAGAACTCAAGAACTACTTCCGTCCCGAGTTGCTCAACCGGCTTGATGAAATCGTCATTTTCCGGCAGCTCGAGCAGGCCCAGGTTAGCTATTTCTAAAACTGTTTTCGAGATTCTAGGCCCTTTCTTCAACATACAAGGCGTAAAAAAACATACGAAAGAATGCTACTTTGGTAACGTTTTCATGTGTTTTATGCTAAATTTCCTGGGATTTCGCTGTCGTGCAGATGATGGAGATCTTGAACCTGATGCTGCAAGAGGTGAAGTCTCGGCTCGTGGCCCTTGGGGTCGGTCTCGAGGTCTCGAAGGCGGTGAAAGAGCTCGTATGCCAACAAGGTTATGACCCAGCCTACGGGGCTCGGCCACTCCGCCGTGCAGTGACTCAGATCGTGGAAGATACGCTCAGCGAAGCCTTCCTCGCCGGATACTTCAAGCCCGGTGACACTGCTTACCTTGTCCTCGACGAAACCGGTAACCCCTCCGTCCGGAAAAATCCCGGTTTGAACGTCCGGTCATCGGACAACACCACAACTGTGGCTTAGTTCGTTGTTGACCGGTTATCAGACAACAACACCACCACGATCATGGTTTAGTTACAGATTCATTGTTTTTTACTCTTTTTAAAAAAAATGGGAAATCGATTGGTTGATGTACTGTGTATAACTGTATATAGTGATTATTATAGGAGGTTGTGTATAGTGTAAACAAAACTCCAATGAGATATACGGTTTTCTGTTTTATTTTTTTATAGTGAAAGTGAAATGAACTTACCCTCTCACATTTCATGTGCAAAAAGCCTTTAATATGAGTGGGTATTTTTATATGAGACCTGTGGGTTATCGGGTAATCGATTTTGGATATTCGGTAAGACAAAAAAACTAGAAGACGGGTTCAAGTTCTGATTTTATTATTTATTTACGGTTATCTTGCAAATATGTAAATTTAAAAAATATTATAATTTCAACGTTATGATCAATATGACCAAATATGATTATGACCAAATATGATTTGAAATCAAAATACATGAAGAGAGAAACGTAAATAGACCAGATTATCATGAAGGTAGGAAACTCAACTCATATTGCTACAAAATCCTTTGCTCTCTCTATACACATGTGAGTTTTTTACTCAGTCAGCCTCGGATTCGTCGGTATCCAAGTACACCTCCGCCTCTTCATCGTCATCGTCATCGTCCTCGGGATTTTCTTCCTCCTCCCGTCCTCCTTGCTGCTCTCTCTGAATGGCCCGAGCCACAGCAGAATCAAGCCTGGAGCTTACAGCTTCCCATGAAACTAGCTTCTCCATGAATGTTGTTATATATTCACTCCTCCGGTTCTGCAAACACATAAAACCAACATCACCATGCTTCCAACATGTTCCTTGGAACGAAACCTGATGCTGGGTACAAATAAACTGGGTTAAGTGCAAAACGTAGGGGGGGTGATCTTCTTCTTCTTCTCGTTTTCATTAATGGGTTACCTCAAAATCCAGGTAGTAAGCATGCTGTTGTGCGGAAATGAAGGAAGAGAGAACAAAGACAAGGTTAGTTCATCGAGAAAGCGAGAGTTTTTTTTTGGCTGAAAGTTTCAGACAGAGATGCAGAGGAGCAAGTACCTCCCAAACGTCGATGGTGAGGAGCGGCTGCATGTAATAACAACAATGAAAAAAAGGATAAGGACCATGAAAGATTTCTCGAATATTACTCTTAAGCTTTTGACACTTACCGAGAAATCCCATATGAGGGGGTTAATGGCATTGGGACTCTTCACTATTACAAGCTTCTTGTCTTCCTCCTTCGGGATCGGATTGACGGCATTTCCCACGTCCAGCCTGTTTGCTTTATCTGCAAGAATTCCCTCCCGAGGGAACAGAGGTTTTATAGGGGATCGGCAGATTGTTTATGCCATTGGAAAGGAGAGATTGAACACTCACATGCAAGCCATGTCCAACCAGAACCGAACTGGGAAGCTGCTGCTGACTTGAACCTTTCCGAGAATTCTTGGAAAGACCCGAAATCTCTCTCTATCAATCTAAGAAGTTCCCCCGACGGCTTTCCTCCACCACCGGGTTTGATAGATTCCCAGAAAAATTCATGATTCCATGCCTAGAAGAGATTGAGATAACTCACCTTCATGATTTTGTTAATGGTTTCACTCACACTTGCCAATGAAACCACTGGATGTAGTACCTGAGCAGCGTTGTTGAATGCAGGAAGCATACTGCCATTGTTGTATGAAACGAGGACGACGTCTTCTAAGGACAACCCATCAAGATCTGTCCCTGCAATCTGCTTGTTGAGATTCTCCACATATGTCCTGTGATGTCTGCCCCAATGGTACTCCAGCGTTTCCCTGCTCATATGTGGCTCCATACCATCCTGCCATTCCAATCCCAATCCCAATCCCAATTCATATACAAACACTGATCCATCTTGATGACTGGAAAACAGATTTCCGGTTATGTGGAGAACATACCAGAGGATATGGTGGTGGCTTCAGCTCGAATTTCGCCGTGACAACACCGGAAGCCGCCGCCTTTCTCGAGAATCGCCTCCGCTATGTAGAAACGAAGCAATACGTTATTAGAGTCCGTGATGAACTGTCAAAACAAATTCATCGCCATTTTGAAAGTTTCATTCAAGCATTTCATCGAACACCTTCCCCGTGTTTTCGACGAATAGTCATCGCCATATCAAAAAAGAAAAACAAGAGATTAAATCGTGAACAGCTCGATCTGGGTACAGAGCAACGGTGTTTTCGGCGCCCAAAATGAATGAAAAAAGTGAACTTGTTGAGCTAACCTGGGTTCTTCTCCATTGCAAACTAAGGCATGGTCTTCGAATAAGCCCTGAACAAAACAGCCCGTAAACAAAGACATCCACAGAGAGAGAGAGAGAGAGAGAGAGAGAGAGAGAGAGAGAGAGAGAGAGAGAGAGCATGAGAAGAAGGAAGCAGGAGAGGGGACGAGAGAGACGAAGAGGTCGCTGTGACTGCAACACTCATCTTCGTCCTAAAGCTTTTCGAAGTAGCTTATCGGATTTCTTCGGCCAATTGTAGAAAGCATAAACCCTGGGACAGCGGCTTTGCCTTATTTTTTTCCCCTTCATTTAAACTAATATTATATATTTTACAATTCAACAACAAAAAATTAATAAAATCTTACTAAGAGATACCAAGTTTTAAATATCCAAACTATTTTTTATTGTATGTTTTAATATTTGATTTTGTTTAATGTTTTAAAAATCTTCAATTATCCAATCTTATGAAAATGGTAATAACATGTATGATATTAGATATGATAAAGAAAGAACGGTGATAGAATATTATGAAAATGTAAATAAAAGTACCGTTTTCGAATAAATTACATTGGTAAGTTTTCATCGGAAATTCATTGAAGAAAAAAAAAAGGACGTATTCTGAACAAAACTGAGATATATTAAAATGGATGTAAAAAAAAAGTTTCGGTTATCCATGGATGGATTAACGTATACTGAAACCGAAAAATACCGTATCTTTTACGATTCCAATCATCTAAAATTATCCGATGATATTAATTTTTTTTAAAAAGTTTTTTTAGAATCAAATCGAAACCGAAATCGAACCGAATATAATATAATAAATCATTGATATCTATTTTTGTAAAATCAAAAAAATCGAACCCGAAATCGAACCCAATATAATATAATAAATCATTGATATCTATTTTTGTAAAATCAAAAGAATCGAACCGAATCCGAATACCGAATGTCCATCTAGTAAGCAATAAAGCAAAAACTCTTTTCAACCTGGATCTCTTGTATAGTAAAATTCATATGAGTTTTCTATTTTTTTTTAGAAAATATAGTTGGATTTTTGGCACAGTAAACTTTCTGATTAAAAAAAAAAAAAAAGAGTTCGGATTCCAAAATGGCATTGGAATATTCTCTCTTTAGTTCAACAAAATCCACAAAAGAGAACAAACAATAAAGGAATTCGCTTCATCGCATTGATAATATATGATAATATAAGCCTGGTAATCATTTTGTTTATTAACTGTATCTGTATAACCAAATCAAAAATCAAATCGAATGAGATATGAATACATTGAATCCGATATAAAATTTGAACGGGTATGATATCTTTAATCTGAAAAAATACGAATCTAAATTTAATTAAAAAAAATAAAAAAATTGAAAATTTCTTTTAAAAAATAAATTTTTGGGATCAAAATAAAATCAAACCAAAATTAATATAAAAACTGAATAGTTATAATTTTTCTATAACCGAAATAACTAAACTCAAATATAACCATAACCGAATCCAATCCGAATCCAAATCCAAATCCAACATTAAAAACCAAAACCTGACAATGAGTGTTCTTTATTACCACATCCCCACATAAAAAAAAGACCAACCAACCACAGAAAAGGAGAGTTTACATTTTCTTTTTATTTTTTTTATGGTAATTAATATATGATAGAGAAAATGAACTCATTGAGGAGGAGGTGATGTATATATATATATATATATAGATATGATCAGGAGGAGAGAGCAGATTTTGCAGCATAGAGTCTGGAAGTGACAGCCTCCCATGAAACAAGGTTGTTCATGAACGTCTTTATGTAGTCCGGTCTCCGGTTCTGTTCCATTCACCACATTAATTCATTAATTCGTTAATTAATGTTAATATACACCAAAATTATAAAATAATTAAACTAAACAAAAGGCTAAAAACCCCCACCTGGAAGTCGAGGTAATAAGCGTGCTGTTCATCGTACACCCAAAAGCACAGGAGCAACGCGTTAAGAGGAAAAAGATAACACAACTTGAAGTTTGTTTTTAATTAGGGCTTAAGAGAACGTTTAGTTACCTCCCACACGTCGATGGTAAGCAGCGGCTGCAATATATATATATATATATATGACCATCAAGAATGTATACATATTGAATCTATACACATATAAATCATGTATATATATATAATTATACAAGGGTTCTGTTTGGAACATACGAAAGAATCCAGGACGAGGGGATTGACGGCATTTGCGGTTTTCACAATCTTGAGTTTCTCCTTGTCATCTGGAAAAAGGGTGAAGCATTTTCCTTTTGTGAGTCATATATATAATTAATCTTAATTGGGATTTAATTGTGAGAATAATTGGGATTAGTGGAGAGATTTAATTACAGGCAAGCCAAGCCCAGCCAGACCCAAACTGAGTGGCTGCTGCTGCGGTGAACTCTTCGTAGAACTTGTCGTAGGAGCCGAAATCCCTTTCTATCAGATCCATTAGCTCCCCGCCCGGCTTCCCCCCACCTCCCGGCTTCATCGATTCCCAGAAGAACTCGTGGTTCCATGCCTATACACACACACATATATACACGTAATAAACCCCACAAAGGGTCGATATATGTATACATGTATATGCATGCGTATATATACGTACCTGAGCAGCATTGTTGAAAGCGGGGAGGATATCGCCTTTGTTGTACGTGTTGAGAACGATGTGTTGCAGTGTGTTGCCTTCGAGCTCAGTTCCAAGAACCTGTTTCTTGAGGTTGTCCACGTAGGCTCTGTGATGCTTTCCCCAGTGAAACTCCAATGTCTGTTTGCTCATATGCGGCTCCAACGCATCCTTTTCCATATCATGTTGTTATTATATATGCATATATGCGCCAAACCCACCATATATATATATATATATATATATGTATGTATGTATATATCTTACAAACTGTAGGCCATGAGATTTCATTAGTTACCATACCACAGGTTCATTTTATGGTTTCTTGTTTTGCAAGTAACGGATTTGATGAACAATTGTGGAGATACGTATAAAGAATATATAGTCTATATAACAAGATGCCATGTGATGATGGAAACCCTAATCACAAAATTAGCAGAACGTACCAATGAGTACGGAGGTGGTTTCAGGACATAGTTTGCGGTGACAGCGTTTGCAGCAGCCATTCTTGAAGCCTGAAGCTTCAGATTTCAGACAAAAGCAAAACAAAGATTTGACATATTAAAAATACGTACATACATGTACATACATACGCACATACATGTGATTGTGTATAATGTATGACCAGAATCAAGACAACATAGATTAAACATGAACCTACGGAATTATATATAGACCGAAATATATACACGCATATGCGTGCGTTTGTATATGTGAATCGTCGAACATGACCATACCAATGAATTTGTAATGAAAATTTTCTGGGGAATCAATCAGACAGACACTAATGGATAATAAAGCATGACCAGATTCAAACAGGAACATATAAAACACAAGTACTGAAGGCCATTGAATCTAACCTCTTATTCTTTGCTTCTTGAGAGCGATTTTTTAGGAGAGATAGAGGGAGGGAGTGAGCAGACCACACGACTAGTGATGTATTGTATTGAAGGGCTTCATGTCGTACATGATGCAGTACATACGATCCTGTACTATCTCCAACCCCTTGCAGTACAGTTTTTTTCCTTCTTATTTTGGCTACACGTATTAAATGTTGGGCAGTTTTTATTCTCTGTTTATTCATTTTCCCCCAATACAAAAAGATGCCATTTTTCTATAATTAAATTAATAAAACAAAACAATATTTGAGAATCAAATCCAAATGGAGATGAATCGAACCCAAATGTAATCGAGACCGTGAAGATGTGCACACTTATCTAACACAACCACAAATTAAGACATAATTTTTTTTAATAAAAAGCAAGGTTTAATGATCAAGATTATCTTAATCTGTCCAAGAAATAATGTTTACATGGTGATCCGACATGGTGAGGTCATGATGAAAATTTTGCCATAAGGGATTGAAATGGAAAAAGGATTCCATACATTAAAAATTGGCAGTAACAAAAAGGATATCAAATCATCCACCAATAATAATGATACAAAAAAAAAACATGCCACGTGTCATGCCCAAGCTCGTTTTCTTGGGGCAAGATCTGAAGTCTTTATCTCATCTATCTTGGCTGCAACTATGAAGTCGTTCATGCTCAACCCTCCTGCTTATGACACACCCACGAGACAGACATTCAAAAGTTACAACTAAAAATCCATGTATATGCATGTATGTACATATATATCAGCTGGAAATGTATCTATATATATATATATACACACACACATTTCAAAAGAATATGAACATTTGGGTTTTGAAGGTTTAACGGGCACTCAAGAGATGGATTCAAGAATCCGACAGTGACAATCTGATCGTTCTTGGAATTCATCTCTCTCCTTCTACGGCATTAGGTTTGGATGAACATTCAGGATGTCCTAACGGGAACAAAACCCAAGAAACTAAAACAAGTTCCTGAACGAAAGAGATTCAGAAACGTACCGATGGAAGAAGTCCAGAGAATAGCTTGAACCTGGTTGGGCTCGTGGAACTGGAGGGCAGGGCAATGGCCAGCAGCTTCAGCCACCTTCTGAATCCTGTTCATCAGTTCGGCCCCGCAAGCCGAATCCCTCACCTTCCAAGTCGTCTGCATTTTAAGCCCCCCTTCTTCTTCCAATAATCTCCAACCGAGAACCTGAAACCAATCAAGAAACAAGACGATGATTGTCCTATGTGTAAGAAACTTCTAGATTTTTCTTACTTGAAGTAAGAAACTCAGGATTTCTACTGTAAACGATGAAAAACAAACAGGGTGAACTCAAAGATCAGGTACCCATGTCATAAGATCACTGGAACTAACATGTTTTAACTTGATTTCTCACCAGACAGTGTCATACACTTGTCCTGAGATGAAGCCATAGCTCTTGAACAGAGTTACTTAGCTGCGCAAACATGTTTGAATGGTACAACGGTTTTCCTAGGACGAAGCTACAACAGTTTGCCATCACTTTATCAGTTTCCTTTCATAGATTTGTTCTTTCTCATTCAAATTCAGTGTCTTTCTTAGTTCTACAATCAACACGTGTGCAAAGAACTCAGACGGAGCAGCTCCTCATCCCAGTCGATACATATCTCCAGAATCAAAGATTTCAACTCAACATGAACCCTAGGCCAAAGGATTCGACATTTTGATCAACCAACAGGAAGACACGAAGTGGTGTAAGAGAAGATTCACCTTCCTGAGAAGCTCCTTGGCTTCACCGACCGACATGGGAGGCTGCGATGGAGAAACAGGGGAACACGTTTGCTGCGACAGAGACAGAGCAGAGGCGTTGGGTATCAGGATCTTGTGCTCGGTGTCCGTACACCCTAGAACTTTCTCTCCGAAATTGCTCGCTATCTCCTCCGGAAACGGGTCTCTCGCCCCGAAATCACCCAGAAGATCCGGCCCAGCTACCGCCCGGGTTACCGCCAACCCGGCGAATCTCCGGCGGGTCCGAGTCTCGGAGGAGAACCTCACGACGCGGCGGCGGGAGGAAAGAGGAGCACGGAGGAGGTGAACGGAGAGGTGCGACGGTGGAGCAATCGCCGTAGTTGCCATCGGAGACGGTGGTTCTGTGATTTCTCCGGTGACAGTAACCGACCAGAGGGAATTTTCCCCTTTTTTTTTTAAATATGGAAAAAATTGAATTTACGATTGGTTCCTGGGTTTAGACTTTAGAGTGTGTTTGTGGTTTTAAGACCACTATGGGCACTTTCATGGCTGAAAAGATAGGGTGAGGTGCCACGTCATCATAGGTGGAAAGCACTGTTCAAGTCGGGATTAAACCGACCGGTTTTGTTTCCCGGTTAACTCAAATTCGTAAAATCGAGCCTCATTAACAGTTCCGATTCGTTGATTCAATTTCGATTTTACGGGAATTAATTAATTCAATTCAATTATAAATTCTGATCAATTTTGATTCATATTAAACTATATTTTTTAAAAAATGAAATAAGACCAAATAATTTTTTGGTCCTTCATTAAGAGGAAAATTATCCACTCGGATAATGTTTTTTAAGTTTGTTTAAAATTAAAAGTCGTAGAGGATAACGATAATAAATAGCCCATGGTCCAATCTTTTCTTATGTGGCCTTATCATATGGGGCTGCTTCAACGGCCCTACTAAAAAAACTATATTTCCAAACTTACCCCTCTAGGAATGTTAAATCACAAAATGCCCTTCTTCCCCGGTTTACATTCTTGCCCTAGAGAAGAGTTCCCTAAAGAAGAGTTCGCCTGGTCCTGAAATATCGTCTCTACGACAGTCGCAGAGAGAGAGAGAGAGGATGGAGCAGCACAATGACCAAGAGCGCGAGGTGTTCGGAGAAGATATCCCTGAGGAGGAGGAGGGAGAGATGGATGCGGAGGAGTATGAAGAACACAGCGGAGATGATGGCGCCGCCGCCGGATATGAGGATCTGGAACCGGGCTCCGGCTCCAAGGTATTGCGAGTGTTCGATCTCTGTTTCTCCTTTTAGTGCACCATTTCTTTCCGATCTCGTTTTTGTGCGTATTTTAGTCGTGTTTATTTGTTCTTTATCCCGTTGTAACGGTTCGGTGGTGATTAGGACTTGGAGGAGATGAAGAAGCGTCTTCAAGAGATCGAGGAGGAAGCTGGGGCTTTGCGTGAAATGCAAGCCAAAGTTGAGAAGGAGATGGGTTCTGGTCAAGGTGTGTATTTGGTGTGGATTCATTCGTATAGACGTCCTTGTAGATTCATAGATTACGTGACCGTAATACCTTAAATTCGTCTGAATGGGTTCTCTGCGTGCGTAATTTTCAACTTGAGACGATGTAGGAGGATGCTTGGTTTGTGTTGTGACCGTGTCTGGTTTATCATGTATTGTCTTTACTTCGATATTCCGATTGGAAGCAGAGGGATTTTTGGAGAAACATTCTAGTACTCGATGTGCGAGAATAGACAATGGACGTTACTTGTTTTCATGGTTTATGCTATCAAATTCCTTCGAAAGAGTACAGTAAGTTAGGTAAAAATCTTCTCAGTTAAACGGGTCGGTGCCCTTTTCTCCTTCCTTTTGGGTGCATATCTATGAAGATTCTTCAAGTGCTTCTCCAAGTCTGGCTGAAAAGGAGGAAGTGGATTCCCGTTCGATATATGTTGGCAATGTGAGGCTTCGCTAATCCTTTTCACATGTTTCACACGTTTATGTTTTCGCCTTAAAACAGAGATTTGAATCTCTTATTTCGTCATCTCAGAATTCACTTCTGATGTTTTGCTTTTTATCTCGCTTTTGCTATCTGATCTGCTTACCTTTTGCATATTTAAAAGTGATGGATTTTTCCACTTTGAGTCACTTTGTTCATAAAAATTTCAATCGCCCCGATATTCATTAGCTTTCATATGCTTTTGTCTTTGTCTAAATCTAGGTGGACTATGCGTGTACTCCGGAGGAAGTCCAGGAGCATTTCCAATCCTGTGGGACGGTGAATAGGGTTACAATTCTGACGGATAAATTTGGTCAGCCTAAAGGTTTTGCATACGTTGAGTTTGTAGAAGTAGAAGCTGTTCAGAATGCTCTTGTGTTGAACGAGTCAGAATTGCATGGTCGTCAGCTGAAGGTGCGAAATCTGTCTTTCGCATGGAAATTATTTCACTTCTAAAAGAAATACGTGTTCTAACACGGTTTGTTTTCCCTTTTTTGGGTTTTGTTTTCAGGTATCAGCGAAGCGGACCAACGTCCCTGGAATGAGGCAATATCGAGGAAGGCGTCCCTTCAGACCCATGAGGGGGTTCATTCCCGGACCTCCTTTTTATCCTCCATATGCTTATGGGTATGTTGTAGAATGTTCTCTGCCTATTCTTATCGCCTATTATCACATACCAAAGGGAGAAAACCACAGTTATATAGTTGTAGTTAACATTAACAATCTTCCAACCTAATTTCAACCCGAAAAGCAAAACAATCTGTCAGTGGGTTTGAGACCAATCTTCTGATTCCTGGTTTCACACATAGATTCCAATCAGAAGTTTGTTAGTGTTTATATATGGTAAGAAACCATCTTTTGGTAGGTCATGTAAAGTGCAATAAGCCGTGCTGATTGTCCATATGCTGGTGTGCAGGAGAATTCCCAGGTTCAGACGGCCCATGCGTTATAGACCGTACTGATCATAAGTGCCTATGCTGTTTACCAGTAGAGTGGCCTGTGATCCGGGCAAAGCCTCTGCCTTTGTTTCCCCCCCCTGAACGGATAGACGTATGAAGAACTTCACATTGGAGAAGATAGAGATATAGAGAGAGAGGATTTGGGGGAGGAGAAGATAAGTGGCAACACAGAAGCAAGATTTCAATTGGGTATTATTAATAAAAAAAGAATCTGAAAATAAAATTATTTTCTCTGTATCAACATGTAGCTGTACGATTTCGTTGTTGTTGTTGTTGTTGTGACTGAAGATTCAGCTGCTGTTAGGGTTATGTTTTGTTTTGGTCGGATTTGAGGTAATAGTTCGGTTATTGTTCTATTTATACTTTTGTCCTTTGGGTTTCTAGATTATAGCTTTATCTTATACACTTGAAAACGTGAAAATTTCTTTTTTGGAAAAACGTGAAAAATGTATTTTAATTTGCATAATTTTTAAAATATACGATATGAAAAAATTGGATCGATTAAAATGAAATGAAAAAATAGAAAAAAGGGAAATGTTGACGTGGCATACAATATCCTCTACGTTACATCTTCACGACTCCCCAAAAACGTCCTTTCCTCTTTCTGTAAGTTTTTTTTTTCTGGGGGCTTAAGGCCATCAGTTTCATTTTCGGTGGAAACGAAGCCAATTGCGCGCATGAGATGCCGTCGTCTCTCTCCAAGCCCTCCGCCGTAGATGCGCCCTCCTCGCCGTTGCAGCCGGCAATTTCTCCTCTGCCGCCGGACAACTCGGAGGCCGAGCGCCGGCTCCGGGAAGCGGAGGAGAGGCTGCGCGATGCCATGGCTGAGCTCCAGAGGAGACAGCGCTCGGCGGCGCGTGGATCTCACGCTGGCCTCTGCGATCACGCCGACGTTTCCTGTGTCGCCAACGCCATCGGCAATCTCTGCCAGAGTTTCCTTCTCTCCTATGGCGTCAGAGTCGGGATCGGGATCCTTCTTCGCGCTTTCAAGCTCGCGAGGGGGCAATCTTACTCATCGCTTCTTGATCTGAAGGTGAAGGACATAGGAATTGGATTTCTTTTGTTTTCTGTTTCAATTTCATGACTGATTGATTGTGCTTTCTGTTTTATGTACGATGGATTTTGATGGGGATTAGGGTTCTCTGGGTCTGCTTTAGGGTTTCCTTCCTTCAATTCTTGGGAAATTGGGATGAATGTGGAAGATTTTACCGTTTTTCCTACCGTTCAAGATTGTCGTTAATAAGCAGTAGAGTTTATATCTCGACCCAAATGGATTGTAGTATCTGTTCTCGTAGGTCAAATTGCTTGTTTCCTTCGTGTTCGGTGCAATGGTTGTCTTTGAATTGATGGCCCGTCATTTTTGTCTCCTTTGTTAAATGCGACTATGGGTGGTTGGTTATGGGATTTTCGACTGAAAAACCATTAATATCCAGTGGTCTTTCTGCTGGAAGACGCTATTATCTTCGTCCCCTTTTTGCCTTCTGATTTTAACACAGAAGGGTCACAAGAATATGTTCTATTAGCTCTTTTTTACGTGCTTGACAAACAAATGGGTGATGATTACAGCAACTTGTCTCGGAGAAAGATCTGATAGTCAGAGAAGAAGCATGTCGTATTGGTTTGCTGTTTGGTGGATTTACCGGCTCTTATCATGCACTTAGATGCTTGTTAAGAAAGTGGAGGAAGAAAGAGACCCCATTGAACGCGTAAGTCTACTGCATCATAATTGTTTTTCTCTACTGGCTATTATTTCATTTTTATGTTATGAATCTGAGTTTACGTGCCTCTCCTATATGTTTATGTATGATACTTGGAAAATTTATTCCTTATCGTGACTTTGTTTAAGGGGTGGAGCAGAATTTTAGCAGGTTCAATTGCAGGTTTGTCTGTCCTATCGTTAGATGATTCCAACAAGCGACGCACACTGGCTCTGTACCTCTTGGCTAGGTTAGCTCAGGTACATCCAATGGTCATGGGTTGTCAAACCACTTTTTGAAATTGCAGTATCGCCTCATACACTTCATGTCTTGAAAGCTGATATCTCTCACACGCACAAACAGTGTGCCTATAATTCTGCAAAATCGGAAAACAAGTTCCACCTGTGGGGAAGCCATTGGAGACATGGGGATTCTTTGCTTTTTTCTGTTGCATGCGCCCAGGTAATATGAATTTCTGCTTCGTAGTTTATTCCCCTGTTAGTCTGAGCAGCTGAAGAAAGTTAGTGGGGGAAATTCATGAAAGTAGTATAGACGAGTTATTGAAGAGACCTATGTTGTATTTTCCTCTCTCTATTGCCGTTTCGTTGAAAAATGGAAAATCTTTCCTTTCCATGTTCTTACTCTACAATATGATTATATGCTTGTTGATGAATTCGTGTAGGTTATGTATTCCTTTATAATGCGTCCAGAAACCTTACCGAAATCATATAGAGATTTTATTCAGAAGACTGGTCCAGTTGCACAGCCCGTTTACAAGGCTGTAAGAGAAACCTGCAGAGGTGGTCCGATTGATTTAGCCTCCTTGTCGGCTTATATTTCTAGTAGAAACAAAGCCAATGACGTGAAGTTGGAAGAGTTCCCGTCCATCATCCCTTGCTCGGTTATTCATCCAGACACCAACTCGTGTCTAGCCCATAATGCTAATGCAATGTCAGCTACATTCAGGAAAACATTTCCATTGTACTTTTCCCTGACTTTTGTCCCATATGTTGTTCTTCACTTACAAAAGGTATGGCTTTTGTTTCTCTTTTCTCTTATGTAAATGTACCATTTTAGACTCCTATTGGTTTACAGTTATACACAAGCTAGCACTTAGTTATATATTTCTTTCCTCTTCCCTGTGTGTCTTGGCTTCATCAAGAAATGATTTTATACATTCCTGTATCCTGATGCATTTCTATTCTGCAATTCAGTTCATGGATGCTCCTTACCGAACATCTTGGCAAGCTGTCAGAGATGCAGTTCGGTCGACCTCCTTCTTGTCTGCTTTTGTCGGGTTTTTTCAGGTTGATATTCTCCGCCCAGTTATCATTTCCCACTCAGTTTCACCCGTTTATTCCTTAACAACCTCGTCGATTTGCACTATAGGCTGCCATATGTTTACACAGAAAAGCAGCATCAAAGGATCACAAGCTCGTATATTGGTTTGCTGGCGGATTTGCTGCTCTCTCCGTCTTGTTGGAGAAAAAACCACGACGGTCAGAGCTCGGTCTATACGTTCTTCCCCGAGCGGCGGATTCTCTCTGGTATATCTTAATCAACCATCACCTTCTTCCCGATATTAAAAACGCCGAGGTACTCTCTCTTTATAGTTAAAAGACGTTTCAGTTTCTGCTCTTTCAGTCATGAAGTGATTTTTCTCTCGAGTTTATGGTCTGCGTACTACAGGTACCGTTGTTCTGTGCGTGCATGGGAGGAATTATGTACTATCTAGAATACGAGCCCGACACCATGGCTCCGTTCTTGAGGAAACTTATCCATAGGTTCCTGGCCAGCCAAATAAGCAGCCCGGGCAATACGTACGGTCACAGCTCGTCCTATACATATCTCCCCGCTCTCGATGCAGCGAAGAAACTGAAATTGCAGCAGGAGACCCAAGAAAGTGCAACTCCGAAAGAAAAATACAACCTTGAGTCCATTTCCGGGCTCTAAATTGTCGATGTATGTCGCCCTCTTCTTCATTCTTTCAGAGTTTTCTGTTTTTTCTTTTGGGAAAAATTTAAATAAATTCAATGGCAACTTTTTTCCAAAATCTTAAACGATTTATACACATACATACAGATGGTCACATACATACTCCGATGGCGAAATGTTCGGAGTTTTAGGTTTTTGGTCTCTGTTTCTGTGGTTGTGATTCATGGTCTGTGGTTTTGGTGGAAAAAGGAAGGGTTTTTCGGTGCTGCTGATTGTGGAAGTTCAGCTTCCGGTTGGTTTTGGCACTGAAAATGGATGAAGAGAGAGGAGTTTGGAGAAATTATGTGCAAGGCTTTAAATGTAACCCGTAACCAGCATCATCTTCTCGTGGCATTATCAATGGATTCTCTTCTATATGGAAAAATTACCCCTAGTTATCAATCTAATTGAAAGGCAAGAGCATGTAATTATTAGGACAAACGTATGATTGGTTTCTAATAATGAAGTCAAGGAATGTAATAATGTTTTTTTCCCTCGCCAGTTGCAGTTCTTCTGTTAATGGTCAAATATCTTTCTGGTCAAATACAAAAAAAAAAAGTCTTTTAAGACGTATTGCCACGTCATACCAAACAAAAACAGATCATGGAATATGGATTTTATAATAACAAAGTGTGTGGCACTTGTAAGCTCTTTGTTCCCCACCTTAGGATTATAAAATTCTGCGAAGTCAAAGGTTATAAATGTCAGCAAATATCTTAGGGTTTTTTTTTTCAACTTTAAATATAATGGTTTCACACAAAGTATAAACAAATAACCGGCCGAGGTACAAGGAAAGGAAACAGATGCTCATACCTCTTAAGAGTGCCTAAGATCAGAGTTTGACCTCTATGAATTTGCATCATTAACCAAAAAAATGGAAGCGGGGGTGTTTGATGACTCGAGCCTTATAGAGGAACGCCCTTTGAATCCTCTCCGAAGCGCCTACGCCAGAGAACCGGACCTCGTCTACGAGTTGGACAATGACGGTTTTACCCCTCTTCACAAGGCTGCATCGGCCGGCCAAGCGGAGATCGTGAGGGGCATTCTTGGAATTGACGGGGGGCTGTGCCGGCTCAAGGGCGGTAGAGAGGGTGAGACTCCTCTTCATGTGGCGGCCGTCAAGGGGAAGGTGGATGCGATCAGAGAGATGGTGCGGAGCTGTGCGGATTGCGTGGAGGACACGACAGTGCAGGGCCAGACCGCTCTCCACCTCGCGGTTC